TCTTTCCCCCACATCTGCCTTTGGGGATGAAGAAACTTTGAGGGGCAAGGAGTTTTGCGGGTGATATCTTTGATTGGGCCAACTGCATGGTTGGGAGGGGTATCGACAACTTTTCAGGTAGCATGTCGCCTTCCTTTGTGGATTAGCTTCATATTTCGGTCATGGTTTCTTTAGTTTTTGGATGTTCCTGAGAAAACACAATCCTAGACCCTGGTATTTGGTTGGGTGGCCATCCTGAGTGTGTTCCTATACACTTTGTTTCCTGTGTCGATTTGTGAATTCGAGTCTGCCTTGAGCAGAATAAGGCCCTTGTTCGAACATGTATTTCTTGGAAAGAGAAGTTCTGATTGAAGCTGGCAAAACCCTCTGATTTTATGAAGGATATATATATTTTTTTAATTCATTTCTGCAGCTGACTCCCTGTCGAGCAAAGTCTGGTGCCGCAGACTGACACCGTTGGCCTTCCTGTACCGTTTGTACCTCCTGTTGGCCTGTTTGAGATCTATGTGCCATGCATGTCTCTTGCTGCCGTACAGTAGTGTTTTCAGTGTAGAAGGGCCGGCGCCCTGACTTAGCACACGTCTTTGAGAGATTTATAGATTTGCAAGACCAACGGGACTAGCCTGACCCCGGCTATGACCCAAGCTATAGACCTTCCATGTGTTCTTTTCCCTTCCAAGTCCAACAGCCGTGTCTGAATTTAAAGCCTATTTTATTTTGGGGAAAATTTCCTACCTCGACTGAGATATTTGCAATGAGGGGAGAATCCACCAAAACCTCCGGTGACTTGTCCTCACTTTTGAATCAACCTCAGCTTTAAAAGACGGCACCTCAAACTCTCGCTAGAAATATTGTGATTGAGTTTCCAGCAGTTGGCTCTTGCCATGCCTCTGTCCAGTGGATTGAAGAGCCCTGGTTATCAAATACCTGCTCTCCATTTAGCCGCTTCCAGATTGCAATCAAATCGCCCATTAACCTTCCCTCCGAGAGCTCAGTACATCGAGTGCTGAAGTGTTTTACCATTAGATGTGTTTCCCAAATGTCTAATCTTTCTCATGACTGTTCCCTGAACCCTCTCCAATTTTTAGACATTCCTTCTTGGAACGGGGGAAGCCAGAGCTCGCCGTCGCGTTGCAGGTGCGGAGGTAACCGAATCCCCTTGTTCCTCGTTGCCGTTCCCCTGTTTATACATCCAGAGACTGTGTTTGCTCTCTTGGCTAGAATGAGACGGGGGGCTCGTGTTCACCGATTATTTCCGCCTCCCCTCCGCTTCCCCCGATGTCTTTTTTCTTCCAAGACGCTGCTTTCCAGGATAGAGTTCCCCATCCTGGCATGTTGGCCTTTATTCCTTGTTCCTGGACCTTCCCTATCCTGAATTGCACGTACTTTGCTCGCACCCAGCTCACCAAGAAACCCAAATTGTTGCATCTCTCTAGCATATCCCCTTTGTTATTTCTCCCTCCCACCAGCTTTGTGTTATCTGAAGATTTTGCTGCCTTCCAGGTCCCTGATAAAAGCATTAGCTAGTGCCAGGGGTGTAGGTTGTAGCAGTGTTGGTCTAAGGACATAGGCAGTCTTTGGGTAAATGTAATATCTTTTATTAGCCCAGCTCAAATAGTCGGAAAAACTCTTAGCTAATGCCAGGCATGGCAGGGTCCTTGATGGAAATAGATCTGCTCACTGCTGATTCTTCATTTACTGCTGGGTTTTGTGACGTCACGGCTAGTTTTTAATCCATTTAAAGCGTGCTCTATTGATGCTGTTGTTTTTTTTTTTTTTAATTGCTCTGGTTTCTTAATCAAAATGTTGTGTGCTCCTTACAGAAGTCTTAACCCTGCTACCTCAGCGCTGTTCCCTTCACCAGCCAAACACGCCACGTCATAAAGATATCTGATATGTTTGTCAAGACCTATTTTCCACAAGCCCATTCTGACTGCCTTAATTATATTACTTTCTTCTAGTCCTTTATTAAACGCGTCCTGGATCAGGCTCCGTAGAGCCGAGATGTCCTTGGCTTCTTTCATGATAAGCTTCCACTACTTCCCGTCAAGGGCATATATTTCCCATGGCTGGTAGTTCGTCAGAAGAGCTGTTAAGTTTTTTTTTAGTATCGGGGTGTAGGTTGTAGTCGGGTTGGTCTAAGGGAATAGGCAGACAAGGTTTTTTGGGTAAATCTGGTATCTTTTATTAAGCCAACTACAATAGTTAGAAAACTTCTTAGCAAGTTTTCGGGCACGAACACTCTTCATCCTTCTGTCATCTCCTTGGTTGGCTGCAGGGTCCAGCCCCTTGAGGAAGGCTTTCCAAGAACTGTTTAGCTGGTCGATCTCCCATCTTTGTAACCATATTGTGTTGGGGTTTTATACTTGGGTCTTCATAGGCTTTCCATAATTCCCTCTGACATCTTCCCTACGCCCCTGTGAAATAAAGACACCCCTACCTGAATTTCTATCGGTGAAAAGGAATAGTGACAGGCTAGATCCTAAAGTGGTAGAAATCAGTACAGCTGCATCACCTTCAACTACTAATTCATGCCAATTGAGGAGCTGGCCTCTTATAATTTGTGCTTTGAGTCCCTGAAAGATTTTTTTTTTTTTTTTAAGGTTATCGATTCTACCAGAAATTACCGTCAGGATTTCCCAATGCCTTCCTGCACTGCATTTCTGCTTTTCTTTTTCTTCCTTCCTTACCTCGCGGCTGATGCACCCGGTTGCAAAGCACCCTGGGCCATGCACCCGTGCCGAATCAGGGTGTGCATACAGCGCCTGCTACCTGAGACGTGAGATGTACCTGGGAAGAATGAGGCCTGACCCTTCACCTGCAGCTGCCTGATCTGGTTTTAGGTGTCTTCTGCTCCTCTGCTTTTCATTTTCTTGCTTGCCAGCCTGCAAGTCTGAAGTTGGGCCCTGAAAATGAGTAGCTGTTGTTTGGAAATCCCAGGCTTCGATCTTTTGTATTGCAAGGGTAATAAAGTCTTCAGGATGCTGTCCCAGGGCACAAGTCAAAGCAATGGTATAATTAAGGTAATATAGGGAGGTAGGCAGATCTCCCCTAATTGTATGCAGACGATAGAGCTTGGCTCAGCCTTTTGACTAGTGAAGCTTTCCTCAATTTGGGATATTGTGATCCTAATCAGAGACCTTTAACCGCACATCAAAGCAGATGCTCCGAACCTGCATACCTTGGGGCTGGCATGGCCTGATTGCACGGCCTCCTGTTAGCAGGCTCATCTCTGACCAGGTGTCTTTGCTGCTGTGGACGACTGATTCCTTTTTTTTTTTCAGTCTTCATCGCTGAGGGAAAGAAATTTAATCCTAATATTACTGCCGGCCATGGAGCGGAGCCGCTGGTTTGGAAATTTTGCTCTGTTGTTGCTCTGTGATATCAATGCAGGGCAACCTCTGCTACCTGCTTATTTTGCTGCCGATCTCTAACCCAAGGTAAAGCAGACCTGTCATTAGAGTAGCCATCTGTGTTTAAATCTATCAGCTTCCTTCCCCTTGTCCTCTTTTGTTTCCCTAATTACACTGATTGCATCAAAATGTCCATCGCAGGTCCTCTACTGAGTTCCCGAAGCGGAGCGTCCTGTCCTCTTGCTCTGTTTTAATATTAAATCTTAATATGAGAAGCCCAGGGGGTCCGAGCCGTTGAGAAAGAGGGGTGTGTGACGGATCCTGAGCTCCCAAGTCTGAGTGCATTTGAGTTCGAAGCAGTTGGGACTCGTGGTAGAGGTGATATCTTTTGTTAGACCAACTCAATTTTTGCAAAAAAGTAAAATCTTTGAAGGTCACTTTTCAGTTCATCCAGGGCTGTGCGTGTCTGGATGTCAGACCCTTTCCGCTGCTTTCAGGGCTTGCTTTACTTCTCTTTCTACTTCATGCCCCTGCAACAGGGGTGTCCAGGGGGAGATGGGGGGCTCAGCACCCCGTGAATGGAGGCTGCCAGTCATCACAGACTGGCTCGACCTGGTACCCGGGTCTAGCCACGGGGTCCCTGGGTCTGGCTTCTCCGTTCTAGGTACCTCTTGCCATCATCCTTTGCTCATGGTATTTGTATTGCATGAGTATCCGGCCACCCTAATTGGGGTTCGGGGCCCCGTTTTGCTACGGCTGTGCATCAGCAATAACCTGGTGACCCCATCTGAAAGGGCTCCCAACCAAAGCAATCGAATTACCAGATGGAGATTAAATAGCATTGTTTGGCAACCTGGTTTTTCCTCTCTCTCTCATCCCCAAGGCTGACGTGGGCTGAGGAGGGGGAAATACAAATGCACGCTTTTCTTTTTATAACTACTGATAAGGCAGCCTTGTCTCTCATCTTGGCAATGCGCCCCAGCTC